TACGTCTATTTACTTTGGATTTTGTTGTTTGATGACCAACACAACTAAATTGGACTAATAAATTTACAAGTAATTGTCTTATAGTTCAATAGGGTGCAAGACGTGACTTGGACGAATGCGACATAATGATCCAATGATCAACACATAAAGCAAGACCTTAGAAGCACAATAGAAGACAAAAAACAAGCCAATTCCAAGCACAAAGATAGAAACCAAGATGGACGCAAGATCACAAAGAAACGAGCTCGACAGAGTTAACTGGACGCGGCCCTTACGAGAACCGGACGCATCTGATCAGTTGCTCGGCAATAACAGGCTTCAGCAACAGCGACCGGACGTTGAGCGAAGCAGTGACCGAACGCACGGACTTTACTATTTATTGTCGTGGCAACAACTCAGTGAGAACCGGACGCATCAGTTGTGGACGATCGGACACGCCAGGCAGTGGCATCCGGTCGAGTTCAAAGAGGTTCTAGAGCAGCAAAACATCGACTGGACTCATCAGATGGTAAGCGACTGGACTCGCCAAAGAGTTTGATCAATAGTGAGCACCAACGGTCGTCTACAATGGTCAGGACGACCTGTGCGTCCGGTCCATGGCAGAAAGCTAGGTTTTATCCCCAACGACTACTTTCTTCATGTAACTTATAAATAGATCCCACAACCGGCCAATTGAGGTGTTGAGAGCTAAGAAAACATACCAAGGGTGTTGATACACAATTTTAGTGATCTCCACTTGCATAGTGCTTAGTGATTCATTAGGTGATTAACGTAGTCGCTTTGTGAAGTGCTTTGCTTGATTAGACCACCGCTTATGCACTTGTTCTAGGTTTAGGCCTAGTATTTAGTGAGGTTTGCACACCTCTTATCACTCGATGCTTGCGCGCACCATTGTTGTATATTAGAGAGGCTTGTAGTCTTACGGGATCACACCAACCATGTTTGTGGTGCGGCTGCCATCATGTACCGAAGGGAACAAGGCCCGCGGCGGTTCAGCCGAAAGTTTGATAGTGAAGACGGCGGGGAGCGATCCAAGAGAGGCTTGCCGAAAGGCACACCGAAGACCCACTTGCGCGTGGGGAAGACCTGAGGCTATGCACGAAGTTATCCGACTAGGAGCTTGGCCCTTGCGAGGGGTTCCTTGCGAGGGGCTCCAACGAGGAGTAGGGAGAAGCTTGAGCGCTTCTCGATAGCTCGGTAAAAATACTAGAATCATCAACGGGAGTTTACATCTCTACCTCATCTTTACCTTCCGTATTTACATTGTTACCTAGGTTGTGTGCTCTACTTTCCTAGCTTAGTTGATAGGCTATTTGATAGGGTTGGAACCTAGGTTGCAAGATTCTTTTGCGGCGGAGATAGCAACATATTAACAAAATCGTAGTTGCACATTTAGATAGATTACTTTCTTGCATATGTTTTGCTATGGTGGAATTAGATGCCATAGTTTAGAGTAGATTTTTAAGTTGCCTAATTCACCCTCTCTCTTTATCGTCACGGTCCCTTTCAGGGCTTTTGTGCAAGAAGCTGTCGCAATTTATAGTGTCATTATATATGTTATAAACAAAAGAGCATTATCCATTAGAATTTCAGAAAAGAAAATGGGAAAGGGATTTACGCCCCATCCGGTGAAGCCAACGATATGGGTCTACTACCATGCGTCCATGCCTGCCAACCAAACAAATGAAAAATTGGTAGAAAAAGTCTCTTTTAACTATTATCGTTTGTCTGGTTTTCTTCTTTAAACTTCATAATCAGATATTTTACTAAACTCTATTTTTTTAAATTACCTCGCTACATCTATGCCTCAGTTAGAATTGTTTCTTCAAGGTGATTTTATATTCTTTTAGTTTAAAAATATGGTAAATACCTAATAAGGATCTTATAAACCATGAAAAATATCTTTAAGCTTCTTAGAATTCTAAGAAAAATACTAAACATATATTAGGACACGACAAACCCAAATAAAATATTTAAATATCATTAAAATATCTCTAAAAGCTCCCAATTATATTTAGCTCGATCAAAATAAGATGCAACCTATATGAATGCATCCAAAATAAATGTTTAAACACGTTTCAAAAACTTTCCACAACAAAAATATAAGATGCAACCTATATGAATGCATCTAAAATTAAATTTATGTTGAGTTCTCGTTGGTTGCATCTCTTTCTTTTTGTTGGAAGTTGTAGAAACACATTTAAACATCAACTAGAATTAATGTTCTACATTTTCTTTGGATATTTTTCTCTCACTTACTTATTGATAAATATGATTTTTGAAATATTTTAGTGATATTTTCAAAGGCTCTGAATATTTTATTTGGGGTTTTTCATGTCCCACTATATCTATAGAATTTTTCTTATAAATTTTAGAAGCTTAGAGATATTTTTCATGGTTTAAATATGATTAGGCGTTTACCAGGTTTTTTAATAAAAATGATGAGACCACCTTAAAAACCATTTTAAACCTAGGTAGAGAGCTAATTTAAACCATTTTAATATGTTGTTCAAGGTGAATCTTAGGATGGAGATGGTCTAACAAGATGTCAAGGATGACAGGATAAGTATAAGCTACTAGCTAGGTAGCCTGACACTCAATGTCAGGTCATGGCCACATTACAACCTCAAATAATAACATCTCAAGTGTTATATACAACTAGTTATTAGTAAAGAAAATTGAAAGTAACTTTCCAAAAACAAATTCCCACTCTATATAGCGAATGTTGCCTTTGTAATTTCCCCAATAGACATCACAAAGAGACAGAGTCAGTAAATTTTGAGATTGACAAAGTCACCATAGTTACATCGGCACATCGCAGTTAACAAACACATGACCTACTATATACTAAATGATGAATATCATTGTTTTCTTGCTGAAATAATATCTAAACCTGAGTGGACAAGTTCCACCACAAGAAACTTCCAAACCTGACCTATTCTAAAACTAATACTGAAATTTTTTATTTTTAGAAAGATAGGTGAATTACGGTTCAAAATTATCGAACTAGGTTTAGAAAATTGTTGCCTAATAAAATTTATGAACAGTGAGGGAGTATTAACTAGACAATTATTTTGTGAACATAATGTTTCCACCAGATGTAACCTAAATTGCTTTTATTTGGACATACGGAACCAGTAATCTGGTGGCTGCAACGGACATGTGCACTTTAATGGTATACAAGAGCATTCAACCTGCTCGTTTGGCTGTGGCTTGTCATAAACGATCGTAAATTTTCAGCCGAAATAGTATTTTTCTCTCACACAAACCAGCCAGTAGTACTTCTTCACGAACTAGCCAACCGAACAGGCTGATTATCCATCAGGAATTTGAGAAAATAAAATGGAAAAGAGATTTGTGCCCCATCCGATGAAGTCAACAACATGGGTCTACCACGCCTGCCAACCAAACTAATAAAAACCGGTAAAAAAGTCTCTTTTGCTTTCACGAACTATTAACATGGTCTGGTTTTCTTGTTTAAACTCAAAATCAAACATTTTACTCGACTCTCAAAACCATTTAAATTACCCCAATGTCTTTATGCCTCAATCAAAAGTTGTTTTCAAGGTGCTTTTATCTTTTTTTAGTTAAAAATCTGATAAATACATGATAAGGATCTTTCAATCCATGAAAAAAAATATCTCTAAGCTTCTAAAAATCCAAGAAAAATACTAAACATATATTAGGACACGATAAACCCAAATAAAGTATTTAAAGATCATTAAAATATCTCTAAAAGCTTCTAATTATATTTAACTCGATCAAAATAGGAAAAATATCTAGAAAATTCCCAAACATTTTAATTGATGTGTAAACACTTTTCAAAAACTTTCCACAACAAAAATACAAGATGCAACCTATATGAATGCATTCAGAACTAAATGTATGTCAAGTTCTTATTAGTCACATCTCTTTTTTTTTTGTTGTTGGAATTTTTCTAACATATTTAAACATCAACTAGAGTGACTTTTCTAGATTTTTTTTGGATATTTTTCTCATTTTCCTATAGATAATTCCGTTTTTTAAAATATTTTAGTGATACTTTCACAGGCTGTAAATATTTTATTAGGGTTTAATATTTTATCTCTAGAATTTTTCTCATAACTTTTAGACGGTTAGAGACATTTTTCGAGGTTTAAAGATCTTATCAGGTATTTACCTGATTTTTTAATAAAAATGATGAAACCACCTTAAAACCCATTTCTAACCCTAGGTAGAGAGTTAATTTAAACAGTGCTGATAGTTGACAGAGGTACTTCATTTCAAATTGTAAGGCGTTTTGGTTTTTCTACGTATAGTGATTTTACTATATACTTAGCCATAGTGTATATCTAAGTGTATTGTAAAAGAAATGTATCTGCAAATCAAAATATCTTACAATTTAGAATGGAGGAGCAACGTATGTAATTTTAAATTTCAAAAACTAAATTAAAATAAAATCACGACACGACGCTTTTTCCAACCGGTTTGACAAAATTGCCGAAAGCGGCCGGGTCCACTTTCTGCGCGCAGACGGGGCTGGTCCATTGAGATGCAAATGCAACTCCATTCGTGCCGGCCCAGCCCATCTACGAAGAGTCTGACACCATCATCTCCGTCCTCTCTTCCCCTTCTTCTTCGCCGTCGCCCGGCGCCGCCGCACAAACCAGCCTCCCCGAGTGAGTTCTTCCTGTCGTAGTTGTATTAATCGCCCCACTATCCGGCTACTGGTATTAGGTTCGTGTTGACTGGAGATCCAGAATTCATTTTTTTTCATTGGTAAGGAACCCTAACTTGCTTGTTCCCCGATGAGCAATCACATCCGATTTTCCACTCCTCCATCAGTGGCGTGGTACTAATCCAATCGAGCGTCCGTTTTCTTTTCTGGGTTCAGTGACGGCGGGTGCTCCATCGCGTGCTCAAGGATCGGTCTCGAATTCTCAATTGGCCCCGGAGGACTTGGGTTCCGTTTGAGGGCGTTCAAATTACTCCCAAAAAATTTGGAGTTCAAGACACCTCCGATGCCGTCAGCATCTGGGAAGAAGGATCCACAAGTTACTCCGAGGCCTGCGACGGGGCCGCCTCTGGTGCAGACTCTCACGCCTGTTAATGTCACAGGAAGTCCTGCATAGACCCGAGGCTGGCGCAGCAGTCTTGGCCCGGCCATGTAGTACACCTGCGCCCTTGTGCACCTTGGCCTCCTCATGTGCCAGTCCCGCTGATGCTTCCGCAGCAAAATGTGGTTCGCTCTCATACGGCGCCGATTTCAACTCCTTTCTGTTAATCAGGAACAATGCCTTGTTGCAGACTGTCCTTATGCTGTTTCTTGATGGGCAGGATGCTATGGCGGATGTGGCTGCAGCAGATGTTAACCCTGCAATCGATAGCTGCGACGAGAAGATGTTGCCCAAGGTGAATATGTTGTTCGATGGTGAGAGCGATGCGTATGAGTTCTACATTGCATATGCTGAAAAGGTGGACTTCTTTGTCCGAAGGTCAACGCTCTGGACAACATCAAAGAACATAATCACAAGGAGAACTTTTGTGTGCTCGAGAGAGGGTTTCCAGGAGAAGAAGAAAGGAGCAAAGGAAGCAAAGTGTCCGCGTCCTGAAACACGAATTGGATGCCCAGCAAGCTTGACCATTAGACTCACCGCTAATGGCAAGTACCGTTTGACAGAGTTTGTGCCGAATCATAACCATCAGCTGGCAACGGCATGTACAGTTCATATGCTGAAAGCAAAGAAAATCAGGCACAAAGCACGGGCTGCGAGAGAAAATCTGGCAGATGATACTGTGAGTACACCAGAATTTGAGAATGAAGATGAGGCATATGAATTTTACAGCATCTATGCAGGGAAAATTGGGTTCAGCATGCGTAGGGCTAGCATGACGGTGAATACTGAGAATGTTATAACCAGAAGAATGTTTGTTTGTTCAAAAGAAGGGTTCCGTGAGAAGAAAAGAGGAGCAAAAAGAGTAAAGAACCCTCGACCAGAAACGCGGACTGGCTGTCCAGCATGTATGGTCATCAGGCTTGGAACTAACGGCAAATATCAAGTCACAGAATTTGTTACCTGCCACAATCACCAGCTTGGGGCTGCAGCAGCTTCAGATCTTGTCATGACATCTGGGAGTACAGAAAATGGTCAAGATGATGGAGTTGATCAGGCAGATAGATCACTCGATGATTCTGTTCACAAGCAAAATCTGATTAATGGAAGTGCCACTCTAAATTCCCTAGAAGGTAGAAGTTGCAAAAGATACAAGTGTACAAAGACTCCACATTCAGGTGATGTTGGTGCTACACTAGAGTACCTGCAAAAGGCGCAACATGATAACCCTTCATTCTTCTATGCTGTAAAATCTGATGAGGATGGGAACTTCACGAATTTTTTCTGGGCAGATTCAAAATCTATTGTGGACTTTTTCCATTTTGGTGACGTAGTATGTTTTGATTCAGGATATGCATTGCAAGGCTATGATAGGCCATTTGCTTTGTTTACAGGTGTGAATCATCATAAGCAGACAGTTATCTTTGGTGCTGCAATTATCTATGATGAAAGTAAAGAAGCTTTCAAATGGTTATTAGATACTTTCAAGATGGCAATGAATGGAACACATCCCAAGACATTGTTAACTGATAGATCTGTTGCCTTAAGTGAAGCTGTTGCAGCCACGTTGCCTGCTACGGCCCATCGTTATTGTGTGTGGCAAATTTACCAAAATGCTCTGCAGCAGCTGAGTCAAGCTTTCCATGGTTCAAAAACTCTAGAATGCAACTTCAAGAGATGCCTATTTGATTGTGAGGATGAGGATGAGTTTGTGACAGCATGGAAGGAAATGTTGGAAAAGTATGACCTAGAAGATAATCAATGGCTAGCAGATTTGTTCTCAATAAAGGAGAAATGGTCACTGGCATATGGCTGCGATGCATTTTTTGCTGATATGAAAAGTGTCCAGCAAAAGGAAAGTTTGACAGGTGAGCTGAAGAAACATCTATCCTTGGAATGTGATCTTTTGAACTTCTTTGAGCAGTTTGAAAGACTGTTATGTGATCGTCGATCTGCAGAGATGGAGGCTGATGTGAATGCTAATCACAGTACAAAAAAGCCACCTTCTATGCGAATGTTAAGGCAAGCTGCCAATGTATATACACCTGCCTTTAAAATGTTTGAGAGGGAATTTGAATTATACATGGATTGCATGCTCTACATCTGTGGTGAGATGGGCACAATTTTCGAGTATAGAATAAGTGTCGAGGACAAACCAAGAGATCACTTTGTTAAATTTGATTCACTCAATTCCATCATTCCATGATGAATTGTACTTGTAAGACGTTTGAATTTATTGGCATCCCATGTCGCCATATGCTGAAGGTACTTGACACGAGGAATATCAAGGACCTTCCTATTCAGTACATCGTGAAAAGGTGGAGGAAGGATGCCAAATCAGGATCCTCAAATGGTGATTGTGCTTTCTCATTTGATGGTGATCCTGACTCTCTCCACATAAAACGTTATAATTTTTTGTGTCGTATGTTCAGTATAGCAGCGGCTAGGGCTGCAACTTCTGCTGAATCATTTGCATATATGGAAAACCAGTCAAACATACTGATGGATCAAATAGAGCAAGTTATTCAAACCAGACCCCCTGACATAGCTGATCTTATTGGTGCTAATTGTGACCGAACTCAAAATTCAGTTGACAATATTGTCGCTGAAGGCATTCACAGTCATACTAATTTTCTTAATGGCTCCACTGATGGTATGTGTTGAAGTATTGGTTTTGTTTCCATTTAAATACATATTGTTGCCACCCAATAAGCACATTATGTGCATTGCAGGCTCTCTAACATTTCCGTTCACATTGGGTGCTGGCACATTGGATTACCGCTAACTGGTACCTACTGTTAGGATGGTACTGCACTACAGAACAAAGTATTTCTGTCTCGCCATGCACAACATGATGTATCACTTTAATATTTCACAATGAAACCATGCTTGTATGGCTGCATCATTTACTCATTACTCTATTACTTGACCTTCTGCGAGAAGATATTTTGTTTTCTTCATTTGCTGACCAAGTCTTTTTAGGTAGGCAGAATGACATAATGGATGTTCTACTAATCTGTTGGTGCCTGCAAATTAACTGCAGAGCTGCAAATAACAATGGCACGTCTATTGTACAGGTCGTTGGCAGGTAGATTTTACAATTGCTGGAGATCCATTAGTTGTCCTTAGGAAGTAATATCAGAGATTATAACTTATACACAAAAGCTTACCTCCCTGCGGAACTACTCAAACATTGCAGGCCTGATATTGTTTCTCACCCAAAGAAAGAAAGGCATTTCCCCCCCTTCGCCAGCACTAATTGTGTATACTGGGAAAGGATCTTGTCATGAGGTAGCACCCGAAGGATCTTTCATGAGGTCACATAACATCACCTGGTTTTCCAGCCTGGTGATTGTGCACGGGATGTTCCCGGTAACTTGAGGGACTACGCGTGTGTTGCCGGTTAAACAAGGTGATGTTGCTGAGCTTAACCAAGCGAGCCCATCTGAGCTGTGTTTTTTTTAACCCGTGCTGAACTGTACAGGCTGGTTCAGTAGCCTCGTCATCCCTGCTGTGTAATAATGTACAGATTTTTGTAACTCGTTACGTCAAACATAAATAACACGTACTCTCTCTGTCCTAAAATAAACATATATCTCGTTTATCGAGAAGTTAAGCTTTTCTAAGTTTGACTGGACATAGAAAATATTATCAAAATTTGTATTTGAAAATAAGTTTATTATGAAAGTGTATTCTATGCTCAATCTTATTTTATGATATTGGCCCTGTTCTGTTTGAACTATTTCAGCAGTATTTTTCAGCGAACGAACAGTGTTTTCTTCTCACAACAAATCAGCATAAGTATCAGCATAAATCAAATTTCAGCGAAATTTACTGTGCATCGTAGATATTAGTATATTTTTTTTATATATTGGTCAAACTTTAAAAGGTTTGAATTCTCAGGAAGCGAGATGAGTGTTTATTTATTTTGTAGAGGGGAGCACGTGAGAGTGGCACATGAATTTGGGAAATAAGAATGAGGACGTGAGTCGATCTCTAAACTTAGGTAGGTAGTATGCCTTTTATACTGTACAGCATAAATTCAGCTCCTAACCTTTTTTTTTAGAATAAAATAGTTTATAGAACTCCATAATTTGTTCCAGAATCCTTGTGTAGTCGAGTACCCTATTTCTATGGGGTGCCTGTTTGGAGCAACGTTTCAACAAATTAGTCGAAAACTTTTTAAGAAAAAAAAAGAAGTTTTGAACTATGAAGTTTTTCCAGAGATGTCCGATAAAAATTGTTTCAATAGTGACTATATATGAAATGTTGGAAGAGACCCCATAGAAATGGGGTACTCGACTACACAAGGATTCTAGTGGATTCGGAACAAATTATGGAGTTCTATAAACTATTTTATTCTAAAAAAAGGTTAGGAACTGAATTTATGCTGCACAGTATAAAAGGTATACTACCTACCTAAGTTTAGAGATCGACTCACGTCCTTATTCTTATTCCCCAAATTCATGTGCCACTCACGTGCTCCCCTCTACAAAATAAATAAACACTCATCTCGCTTCCTGAGAATTCAAACCTTTTAAAGTTTGACCAATATATACAAAAAAAATATACTAATATCTACAATGCACAATAAATTTTGCTAAAATTTGGTTTATGCTGATTTCCAAAAAAATGTTGGAAGAGCACGCTTGGTTCAATGCCATGAAGAGGTCGCCTCAGTCTCTCAACAATACACAAATGTGGAAACATATAAAAATCAAATCGTCGTTGTACAGTACAATACAAAATAATCGGTAATCAGTATCGGCATCGCAGCTAAGTCACTTCACTTGTCGAAATAACATGAGCTATTTTGGGGCATATTTCCACTCTTATTGTCCGACAGCTACAAGGTCATGTAATAACTATATATATATCCACCAGAAGAAAAGCTGCCTCAAAATAAGCATGTGCAAGCCCCTTGTGCTCCCTAAATCAATATGCCTCGTCCAACATGACCCGGTGATCTGTTTGGTTTCCAAGCTCACTAGGCACTCATCGTTTGGTGAAAAATCCTTGAGTTAACGAGGAAAAATCGTAATCTTTGCCAGATTGTGAGGGGAGAGTAGAAGATGCAGTTGATGCAGTGCCTGTGTTGCTAGCACCTGCTGCCGCGGCCCCATTTGCTGGGACAGCTGAACTAGTGTTGTACATCCTGCAATCAACAAGACATGTCAGCAAAATGGACATATGATCAACTACTGAGTTCAATACACATCTACATTTTGTTTACAAATCCAATTTGGTGCAGCATGAAATTCCAACGACCGCAATCTGCAACTAGCAGACAGTATAGCTTACCCAGGTGTGCCAAAACCAAAGGTACCAGAAGAAAAGTCCTGATTGTTGTTTGCAACCTGTCAAATAGTAAAACAAAGAAAGATATAACACGTTGTAAAATATTATTCAGATATTATTGTGCCAAAAAAAAAAATACATATAACACCTTCAAGTCTCTTTACCTTGGTGGCACCATTCTGTGCTGCTGCTTGAGTCAACCCAGGATTTTGATAACCAAGATGTGTCCAGTTTTGGAAAGGCAAGGTTCCAAGAGGGGGATTAGAACCATTAGCATTTAGCTGATTGGTATTCCCTGGAATCATTTGTGGTGCATTTCCAGCTTTAAGAGCAGCCATTAGAAGAGCTTGCTGCTGAGACATAAACGCCAGCTGCTGCTGATGGACAGCGAATGGAAATACCATATTGGACTGCAAAACATAGCTATTTCTTAGATAGACCATAGATGTGCCCTTTCTTTTAGGTAGAGCCATTTTTCAAGAACGATGTTTTAAAAGGACTGTTGGCGCTCACCTTCTCAAACAAACTCATGATATCATTCTTCGCATTTACTTGGGAAACAGCTGGAGCTGAGGATATTGACACAGCTGGTGAGTCTTTAAATAAGTCTTCTATTCCGGATGTTGACTGGATCTTGCTTTCTGCTGGTTTGGCAGAATCTTTTTTCTCTGAGCTAGGTACTGGTTGTGCAGCTGAACAATTTTGAATATTCCATAAGCAACAGTAAAAAAACTGACATGGAAATGCATAAATATTGTACTAAGATCCAAGAAAGTGAGGAAGGCACAATAAAGTGCCCACGTAAATAGGATAACTCATCAGTCGAATAGTCACAAGAACTCACACTGGAAGCCATCCCAGGCATTATCATCGTGTGAAGATGACTCTGACTCTTTCTCTGCTGTTCCATCCATTGATAACATGTTAAAGAGATCAGTAGCATAATCAACTTTAGGAGGTGGCACAACGGATGGCTTCTCAACTTTAGGGGGTGTTGCCTCAACTTTGGCAGGAGATTTCTGTGGCTGAGGAGGTGAAACCACCTTAGGAACTGGTGGTTCTACCTTTGGGGGCTGAGGAGCCTGCTTCCCATGCAATCATGCCAGATTAGAAGGGGTTACATTGATGTGTTAAAGTGATTGATAATTAAGAATTATGCAATGTGGATTACTCAGTCTGACTTAAAAGAACAACAGCTAACATTTCAAAAGAGCTATTTCTGAAGACACATCCGCCAGTTTCACAATGACAGATTGATTGTTGCTTAGGAAAGTTTTGGTAGTGAAGGATTACCTGAGAGGGTATCCTTGAAGCTACAGGTGCGACTTTGCTTGGAAGAGCTGGTGAACCACGGTTTTGCTCAAATGAAGATCTATGACCATGTCCACTCCTATTAGCACTAGCCGGAGACTCTTGGCTCTTCTCATCTCGAACTCCGGAGGAAGGTCGTGATGTTCCATTCCTCGGTACCCACCTCTTGTCCTCATATCTACATTTCAGACATATATGTCACGTGTAGGCATTAGTGTTTGAAAAGCAGGAGGATAAGAATAAAGAATGATATATTCAAGGTACTGAAAGATCTGGAAAGAAACATACTTTGCACGGATGAAATTCTCTATCCCAACCCTATCATAGTTAGGAGGCAGCTCTGCTTCCCAATAGCCATTTGCTTTTTCGTTTCCCATTGCTGCAAGAAGATGAATACAATCATCATGAGAAATGCCATCGTGGTTTTATACAGCTAAAAATGTCCTTCAAGTTTCACACCAGATAGTAATTCATACATTGAATAAATGCAACTTGCTCTGGCAGCCATGTATCCAGGGTGGCAGATCTTACCTGCGTATGAAAATGCTTTAGTAAAATAGTAAAAGTGGTGGATTATTTGGTAACCAGGTATGTCTAATAGCCAATACAACATGACAGAAAGCAAAACATGTTTGTTAAGGCATCAAAAGGACTGTTGTCTTCTCTCTGGCTTTCACAAGCAATTCGTTATCACAAAATTAAACAAACCCAAATGAAATAAGATAATGATAGAAGCAATGTAACCAACAAAAAAAAAACACAACTAGATGCTTGGTTCTTGCATGATAAGGATAGTTAAGCATTTAAGCTGATACTCCAAGATTAGATAGTGCTGTAGTGATAGATGATTGTCGTGATATGAGTTGATGTAGGCAACATAGTACACAATTTAAGTGTAAACATTTGACGCTGTAAACAACAAGGTCAACAGCTAGCAAATTGTCCACAAATGCAGATCACCCTATGTCAGACATCAGTGTTGCACAGCTTCATATCAATTCAGTGAGGACATCTATGAATAATAAAATGTCTCTAGTGGCGGTGATGCTGAGTTCGAAAAAACTGTGAAGCTCAGCACAGGGACAGTCACTGACCTTAGATATGTGCACCCCCAGGCTTCTATGAATTCCAGAACATGTCATACATATAAAGATCCCTAGATTCACACTTGCCCATCGAGGACCCCTGCAATATGGTCACAGACAGGAGTGTCAGCATGAACAAGAGTTGTAAGCAGAAGTATCTACCCATAGTCATGGAATGGAAAGCAGTCAAGGAGGCTTTGCTACATTCACTAGGGGCCTAGGATAAAAACTAAAACTACAAACCACCAACTCCATTGAACTCCTTTCAGCTGACATAAAAGTTGCATTTTAGGCCCTTCTCCTGAAACCAAAGGTCTATTTGTACATGTAACATATATGCCTAAACAAATTGTAGATGTTTTGAGACATAAAATAGTGCTCCCTCTATATAAAATATCAAAATGTCATGTCCTCAAGCAACAACTGGTGGCACTTGTAACACAGCTATTTGACATCTAGCTATGCCTAATTTACCATTTTCCATGTTTGAAACAACCAAATGGCACAGTTCCACTCACTTCGACTTGCAGTCTGCACATTCTCTATTCTCAGGAAGCCGAAGAAGACCTTCCAATATCTGGAACAAGAAAATGCAATTAGTTAAAAAAAAGGATAAAGGTCTCAAATGGCCAACATGCATACGAGAATGATGCAAAACAACATAAACACCACATGATACCGCTAAGCATGTCGACAAAATGGCGAATTTTAGGCTTGACAACAAAGATAGTTAGTGAGTTTACTTGTTCTGTGAACTAAACAAAAGCGAGCCAGAAATTGTTTTTCCTTTCTTATGTACACAACAAGAGAAAAGTAATATGTAAAGTCCAAGACCATACTGGTTAGAAAATTCAGGAATCAATCGGCCGAATCATAATTCGTATAGTTCGGATGAATTCAGCGAAGCCCTAAACACCACCAACAGTAAGCGTTGGCTACTTGGTTCCCACATGGCCCTGAGCAAAACGGAACGGAGCAGAGCTCGGATCTGCCACCTCGCATCAACTCACTAGCGGAATCACAAAACAATCACAGAGGTCAGCGCAACGGCGCACGGGGAAATCAAGGGCTGGCACAACCGCAGATCCCGAATCCCCAACTCAGGCTCGCCCCTCATTCCTCCTATCAATCGAAGCAGCAGCAGCAGCGCGCGGTCCCGATCTAAGAAAAACTCGGAGAAGGACAAGGAGCAGGAATCAGCAACCGGACCTTCTTGTGCTTGGCGTTGAGCTCCTTGGAGACGGACGCCTTCTCGTTCATGGCTGCGCCCGCCGAATCCTCTGACCTGATCAGCCCTAGGATCCCCTGATTGAGAGATTATCGGGCAAGGATTTGGGGAGGGGGAGGGGGAGGGGATTTCGGCCTCCTCCTCTTTCCTTTCTCCCTCCTCTCCTCCTGTTGTGTGTTTTGCTTTGCCGCGTCGGGAGGGTCGAGGAGGAGAAAGGGAGAAACAGGGGAGAGGGATCTGTGCCGTGCGTCTCTTCTCTTCGCGGCTTGACCTTCTTCTCGCTCGCTTCCTCGCTCGCTTCCACTCTCTCTCTCCCTCTGAATTTCCTTGATTTATTTATCTTATATTTGTTCTCGTTTTGTTTATGGGCGGAGTTTTATTTCTGTGGTTTGACAATGACGGTGGTGCGAGGGTTTGCTGGCCTAACCACGATTAAGCCCGGATATTTTTGCTCCGGTCACACTAGCTAGAGTATACTACTATATCGTTTGGAGCTAGAATCCCAATAAATCATCAACAGTTTCACAGACATTGATCTTTTTTTACTAGTAGCGAAGAAAAAATTGCTATGTTTTGATAGGGTTGTTATAAGCCCGATCTGAGTCCTAAATAGAGATGGCAACGACATATACTCATCGGGGAGTGTCATCTCAATCCACACCCCTGGACAAAATTCTATCCACTAAAACACATGTACCCACACGCAGGTAAAAGAATTTACACATACTCGTACCCGCATGGTAAAAATACCCGATGGATAACTTGTACCTAAATGCATACCCGCTAGAAAATAAAAAATCTATGATATATCTATTAAAATCATATATCGTCGACTATTTGTGAATAAGACCAACAATTATAACATAGCAACAAATTTTCACTAATCAGTAGTCTAATAATCATAAATCTATTAGACATATGTATATTTCACAAAAATTAATGAAGACATAGGTGTTGCTAAGACGGGTATAAAATATCTACGGCGGGTACACAGGGCTTGGGTAGTATGTTCCCGTACCAACACCCACTCTATCGATGTGTAGAGATTTCTATCCATTAGCATACCCGCAGATGAAAATATCTTCTCATACCTATCTCTTTATCGAGTAAAACCCATCAGGCAGTCAAATTTTGGTACTCATTGAGGTGATGAAAGGATTTGGTTTTGGATGAACATATGATTGGTTAGTTCATTTCAAGTGGCGGGTTTAGAATTGAGTGCACTGGTGTCACCATATAAACATTGAGGTGACCATAAACATGAATTACCGAACATACTTCACAATACCTCATAAGCACTGAATTTCTTCATATGCTTAGCTTGATGGCATCGCCGCATCGGTGTCACTTGGCACCACTCCATACATGCTGGATCTGCCGCTGGTTTCATGCTGTCTGACTGTGCTTGATCTAGCACGTCCTTCCTAGTCTGTTACTGATTTCGTAGTTTCAGCAAACAATGTATTTACTTCTCATCAAAGTAACAAAATAAGCATCGTTGCTGAGTGGTCATTTATGGCTTCAACTGCAGAAAGTTTGTGATGGAGATCATATAAACTTGAAAACAAGAGACAGTATACGAAGTTCTACTCAGTCGCAAGTGCGAGCTCAGGATTATGAACGAGATATCTTACCAAGATACAAAGAAGCATTACATATAGGACTTCCTTCCTGTAAGGATCACTTTCAAAAGAAAGGCCGTTCGACCACCTCTGTTTTCAGGGTAAGGTTTGGTTGTACGGTCATTGATTTCTGCAAAGTCTAGATTCATTGGAGAGATGTTGTCCAATAAGTATTCGTAATTTTACATGCAAAAGGAATGTTGGCAGCTGTTTATGTGCCTAAATTTGGGATAGTAAAATTTTGTCATGAATTTGTGCTTGTTTGGTTTAAAGGCAAAGAGCAAGAGCCACTTGTTGGTTACCCGAATTGGTGCATGTGGACCGGGTTTCATATCCATTTAGTTTTTTTGCCAAATTTTGACAAGATCCCATTTCCCTTGTCATGTCAGTTCACTTTCTTGCCAATTCATGGGTGATCAATTTCATGATAAAATTTTGGAAAACATACATAGGGAAAAAGACCCTTTCATTACCATGGATTTGGCATGAAAATGGAGCTATTTGGTATTTTGAACTGAATTTTGCTATAATTTTGACTGGAAGTAAATCCATGCCAAATCTAGTCCACACAACCAAAATTTGGCAACTATTATATGACAATGGGATTGTTTAGCTATGCCAGTTGGTTCCCTAGTCCTGTAGATCGCCTCCTGCCTAGAAACTAATAACTGCCTCGCAGCCCAGATGTCCAGCTATACCCCACTGTCCATCTAGCATCTAGCGCCTTTTTATTAAGTTCCTCAAGTTTAATTTGCCTGAAATTCGTCAGCATTTGATTTTTGTTTAATATTTTAACTTGGGTTCACTTCTTGACTCTTGAACTTGAAGGCTATGTCCACATACAGTACTCTCCCACATATTATTGGTTCTGAAGAGTATAATCATGACAATAGCTGTGGCTTGACAGGTATTACTGATTTTTTCTTCTTTCTTTCTTCAGAAAAAATCTCGCTCTTTCTTGAACAGATTCATTTGAGTTTATTTATTTATTCAAACAGATGATGCAAAAACTATGGCTGATGACTTCAGCTGGTTGCGAGAGTTTCAAGGGGAGGCTTCAGACTCTGGACCTGATGATCTATTTGGATCTCAAATGCTTGGAATGCAGCAAGGTTTTGAAAAGGTAGTTGAATTATTACATGGAATATTTGGATCACATTGAAACTGCCTGCTATTATGTTACTCGTTCATGGAACCATCGGATATTTTTACATGTTCTAAGGTATCTACAGGGCATTAAATCTGTTGGTTTTGTAATCCAGGGGGAAACAGACTCTCTAGTATCCGCGTCACGAGAATTCAGAGCAATGTTGGAAGCTGCACTTGTTAATCCTTACAAGTTCTGTACGTGTCTCCTCCTTTTCTGTTTCTGCCAATGGACATAGCTTTTTTCAAACATGGCTTTACTTTGGCTTATTGAGTAATTATATCATCATAGCCTCGCTTTTTATTCTTGCAATCATATAAAATCTTTAGTTTTGTTCAGATAAGTGATGACTTTTCTTTTCTTTTCTTTATTATTCTACCATACCATACTCCTTGCAGATGATGATGCGAGTACTACACCACGAGATGCTTCCGTAGAGAATACAAGCACAAGTGAAGTACACCATAACACAGTTAATGTCCTTCCCTTTTCATGCTACAGTTCTGTGTAGCTTTGTCTTCTGCACCTTTTCATATTTCTCTGTGTGGATGCAAAAGGAGTTTTTTTAATAAATCCAAGGCAACCTCTTGCAGTAACACGCATGTCTTTCCTCGTGGCAAAGCTGACTGATTCTTTCCTCATGTAGAAACGTGTGTACCTAAATTTGTATTTAAAACTGTAGTAACCATAAATATTCCTTTTTCGTTAAATTTTTTTCATTTCCTCAACCATAGCCATGACAACTTTCGGAGTCCAGGTTCTAAAATATGGCTATTCTTACTATTTACTTCTTTGGTTCTTTGCTAACTAAAATTTAAATGCGCCTTTACTTGAATATGGCCATGATAACCTTTTGCGTTGTTTGATTCATACCAAGCTCATGAAACAGCTTACTTGCAGTTGTTGCTTTAGAATGTTCACTCTGATAGATGTTCTGTTGGTCCTCGCTTACAGTCTATGTCAATTTGAGGAATATTAGTATGAAATAACCAATCGCTGTCCTTGTCCAAGTGTGAAGAATCCCCTAACAATGCTACCTTAATGATGACATCAGGACCCTGCTTTGGCGACCAGGATGGGTGGTGCAGCAGGTGAAAGAACAAAAGCAGATAATGCTGAAGAGGCTGAACTTCTGGCAAGCTTACAAAACCCAGACATCAATGTTCATGACATCTATTCTGCCTTGGTTAGAGAGGGCCTGTTTGATGCCGGCGATGAGATACTAGCCGTGGACCCGGCATCAGGATTGGATAATCCTGCTGTTGCTGATTCAGCTCAAAGGCCCTCCCTGGTGAATGAAAATGTTCTAAATGAGGACGAAAATTTGATTGAAGACAATAATGCTGCATCTCCGTCTGGGAAAGATGTTTCTGAATCATCCTAGGCCTGGCTTTGCTGATATTGGTTAATTCTGTTAGGGTGTTTTTTCTAGAAGATGACGAAGTGACAAGGTCTCCTTGACAGAGACGCCGTGAACTTTTGTCTGTCATTACTGTCGGGGTTTTGTTACTTCTGGAGATTTGGTGTAGACTACAAGACCCTTCAGCAGTACACTTCAATGTAACAAAAGAACATATTGTGTAACACTCCGCCATGAATAACTATGCATCATTGAAAAACAAACTGTGCTTTATCGCTCGCCAGTCATGCGGATGCGATTCCAGCTGGCTATTTGTTTGTGCCACAAAGCCACAAACAAGCGTTAACTACAGAGGCCCAAGGCAGCTCGTCGTGCTTGGTCCCCATCCCAACCTCACCCTATTCGTTCTGTGATTTATAAGCCGGCTGATGTTGTTTTGCTGTAAGAGAAAAACACCGTATCATTACTGATAAGCATGCCTGATATGATCAAGCGAACAGGGCTGGCCGATCGATCAGAAGTATGCGTCTGTACTATGGTGCCTACCTTCAACCGATTTGTAGCTTCCATTCTCTCTTTAACTTCTTTCATCCCGATTTCGTGTGGATCAAATTTGACAAGATTTTTTTTTTGCGACGTTCTTCTATATAGGTTCTTTGCTTCCCCACTGTTTATGTCCATGATTGTATATGCCACTGCATGCAAACACATCAATAGCGCGGTACCTCTGAATTGGGGAAGCAACTGGTTCGCAGAAAAAATGCCCCTTCTTGTATTACTGCCCGGACCCTGCAGTTCGAGTTTCACTACATTTGTTGTTGACTTGTTGTTCATAGATGAATGACGCACCTCTCGAACTTTACGTGCTGCAGGCTTTCGGGACCTTTTCTCGACCCTGCAGTTTGACTTTTACTGCATTAATATTCCTACTCATATCCAGTGTTTTAACCGAGCGCACAAACTCTGTATATCTGTTGTAACAGAGCACACAGTAAGAAAAAATTTCATCATTTTGTTATTATGCTTGAATATTCAACGAAATAGCACTACACATCAGGTATGATTACTCATTCAAATTGTGAAAGCTAATAGCAGCATGCTTTTGCTGTAATTATGCAAAGTTCGTGCAGATCTCCTGTATCTTTAAATTGACTTCACACTTCAGCATTGTGAATGGACATCTCTGTGGTGACAGGTGATCAGTATTTTGCTCCGTGCGTAATCTTTCTTACATCTGTTAAATGGAAATGGATCTTCCGGAGAACAAGCTGGCAGACTTAATTAAAGACAATGAAAAGGCCAAGTGGAGACCAGTCAACAATCACTATATAACTCAATTCACTCAAGATGACATCCAAAGGATCACAAAGAATTATGCCACACCCATTGGGAAAGGGGCTTTTGGAGAAGTTTACATAGGGCTTCTTGATAATGGTAGTCTAGTTGCAGTGAAGAAATATATCCAGAAGAACTGTACTGAAGAGTTTGCCAAAGAGTTAATTGTCCATTCTCAGATAAACCATAAGAGTGTAGTCAGGCTATTGGGCTACTGCACAGAAGAAAATGCTTTGATGATTGTCACAGAGTTTATCTCCCGTGGAAACCTCAGTAAACTTCTTCATATCTCTCATGATCCCATTCCATTAGCTACCCGGCTTAGTATTGCTATGGAATGCGCAGAGGCATTGAACTACATGCACTCAATGTATCAACCCATCATTCATGGTGACATCAAGCCTGAAAACATACTTCTAGATGATAAATTGGGTGCAAAATTATCTGATTTTGGAATATCAAGGTTATTATCAATGGACAGAACTCAGTACACCATTAATGTCATTGGGAGCATTGGCTATGTGGATCCTGAATTCATTCTTAAGGGGCACATTAATCCAAAGAATGATGTTTACAGTTTTGGAGTTGTTCTTCTAAATTAATAACTAGGAAGAAAATATGTGAAAACGGGACGTGTACTGATCTCACAAAAAACTTCATGAAGGCTGTTGAAAAGGGTAAAAAGATAAGAGAGATGCTTGATACTGAAATTTTGAATGCTGATTGGAAAATTTTGAATAAAGTTGGAAAGCTTGTAGCTGATTGCCTCAAAAGGAACCTCAATGAACGCCCTGATATGAAAGATGTTGTACAGCGTCTTCACAAGCTTAGAAAATCATACCATGATCAAGGGAAGGGAAAAACTACTCAATGGTCATTATGGGGAGAACAGAAAGTCAACCAGGACAATATAACCACTGCCAACTCAAACTCTGCATTGCTTTACAAGGTAGGCAGTTCGGACATCTTCAATTGGACTGCACGCAGCAAAGCCACCAGGAATGTCTCTCCAACACTAATATCACTTCACGGTTACTTGCTCAAGTGTCGAGCAAGGATTGATAAAAATTAAAGAAGGGCGTTCCACCAAAAATAGATCATAATACCATCGAACGCCTGGAAGGATCACTTCACGGTTACTGAGAACTTCACAACAACGCCACCTGTATCGGCTGCAACGTCAACGGGTGGCGCTGTTGTGCAAGGAAGATTTGGAACAATACAAGTTGGCGACAAGAACAAATGTCGGAAGTCAGCAAGTTTAGTTTTAGTTTTAGTTTAAGCTTTTGGCCTCCGCTGGGGAACCCCGGCTAGGCTTCCCTGCATGTGTCGTTTTTAAGTTTGTTTCTCAGTTGTTTTCTCGCTTTTAAGTTAGTTCTCAGTTGTTTTTCTTTGCCCAGGAGGGCGTCTAGTCGGGTAGGTGGCCTTAGCGCCAAAGTCGTGGGGGCTTTTGGCCTCCAACATTTGTTTTTGTAATCCGCTTTCGTTTTTCTTTTCCTCGTCTAATAAAATTCCGGCAAATCTCTTGCTGCCTTTCTAAAAAAACACTAACAACACCAAATCTAGAAACACTAACGCTATTCAAAATGGAGGAGCTGGGGCCAATTTTTAGAAGTGGCAATATTATTAGTAGAGGCAACTATTTTGAAACTTACGGGGGGTATATTCACTATCTTGGCGATGATAAATGTCCAGTTGCAGTTACGAGATCAATAACAAAGAGTGTTGGACATCATTCTGTAATTGTAAAAGAACTTTACTTTCAAGCTCAACTCAGTCACGTGAACATTCTCAGGCTCATTGGTTATCACTTAGATAATGGTATCCTTGTTCTGGTCTTTTACTTTGCGTCGTCCAAGGGTAGCCTCGACGGCATTCTTCATGGCATCAACAGGATGCCTCTCAGTTTGGATGTACGTCAGGGGGTGTTTGGTTCGAGCTACTAAACTTTAGTAGCTACTAAATGGTTTAGTCACTTTTAGTAATTCCAGAGTTACTAGATAGGACTAAAGTCCTTTTAGTCACATTTAGTCATAGTGTTTGGTAAAAAAGTTACTAAAGTGATTAAAAACTACTAAATTTAGTAGCTACTAGGCGAACCAAACAGGCCCTAAATATTGCTGCAGGAATAGCAAGTGGTCTAGCTTATATGCATTCAATGAACCCATTGGCGGGTCTGCATGGTGATCTTAATCTAGATAATATACTTCTAGATGATTACTGGGGACCAAAGATCTCAGGCTTTGGTTTATCTAGATTGATTTCCCAAGATGCTGCCCATGTCATTGGTGATAGGAGATATATAGATCCAGTGTATCTGCAGACTGGCCGGTTAACCATTAGATCTGATGTTTTCAGTTTCGGGATTGTGCTGTTAGAACTCCTTACAAGGAGAAAACACTCGGTTCCCGACAGTAATTGGTTGCTCCAGGATTTTCTTGATGCTTACAGAAATAAGAAAGTGATCCAGCTTGTTGATCCAGAAATTGCAATAGCAGAAAACATGGAGCTTCTTTACAGTATCATAGAAATAGTTATGCAATGCCTAAATCCTGATATTGATCAAAGTCCATTGATGATATATGTGGCAAAGTGTCTCCTGGACACGTTGAAGAGACCTCAGGGCAAACAAATAGAGTGTGATTCACTGCTGAGCAGGGGCGGAGGCAAGTATTTGGCAAGGCTTGGCCTCCGCCATTTCTAAAACATGTATAAAATACTGAATATGTGTATTATATATAGCAGTAAATATATGAGCCGTGTACTAACTGTTAACACCACTCTGAATATAACTATCCGTTTTTTTAGGCGAATATAACTATCCGTTTGCTTCTGAACACTGTACATTCTTATACAGCATCCATCCCTTTTCTATGTCAGTGTCGTTACTGAAATGGTGTCTGGCAGAACCGCAGAAGATGCGCACAGGGCACCCATGCATCAGTCCTCTGCCATGCATGATGCATCATTGAACAGTCACCACCAGTTACTGCTCACCAGTCACCACCAGTACGCATTTTGGCACACATGGTTTGCCCCGCAAAATCTTCCATATTCTGCAACCTTCTCTGGCGATGTTGAGTTGCCGACCCATGAAGCTCTCCAGCCGGCCGACGGTTGCAGCTCGCTCGCTCGCTCGCTGCTGACCAGTGACACCAGCACTGCCAGGTGCCAGGGCCCCGTGTGCGGTGTGCCCATCAACGGCTCGCCCAACCGCCCTCCTCCTCACGTCCCGGCGACCCATCCACTTCATGACTGCGCTCGAACTTGGCAAGCGCCGACGCCTTCACCGACCATGCTTGCCGTTGCCGATCGTCATGCCCACGCCGGCAGGGATGGCTCTGCCGTGCAAGCGAGGCCACTGGATGGCGCACCTGAAACCAGCATGCAACTTGCAAGTTGCAACGGAGCGCCTTTTGGCCTGCCAACCGCACGGGTCTGCCTCTGACACGCCACCAACTAACTGACCAGTCCAATTCGGCGTTCGGCAACCGTTTCTGTGTGCCGCCCAAGTCAAAACCGACCAGACTCGCGCGCCCGGGCGGCTCGGTTGTCCGGACTCCGTAGCCCCAGCTCCCAACTGTCGGTCGCCCGGCACCACCACCTCGCGCGGCGCGGAGTCATTGTTCGCGGCTGGCGGTACCGGCCATCCGGCGGGCTGGGCTGGCTGTGTTCACTGCGTGCCAGGG